TTGTATTTTGATAAGAAAAAAAAATCAAAAATGAAAATTTGAAAAAAATAGAATAAACATTAGATTATAACTTACTTCGTTAAAATTAGATCCTCAAAATGGACTTGAAAATTTTTTTTGAGCCTTATAATCATTACTCGATCGTTATAAGCAAATTATTTTATGCAAATTAGTTCGGTTGGATTATATCACTTTTATCATGAAGAAATGTTTAAATTTGCTAATCTAAAATTTCTATGAATTCAAATCCTTGACATCCTCTGAAAACAGGCTAAGTGATAAATAAATTTTTTGACTTAGAGAAGGTAAGTTTAAAAAGAATTGAATTTTTATCGTTCTCCCTAAGAGTTAACAATAATACCAATTCCAACCCCAATAAACCAATTAATTTTACTTATGAATTTTATTAATATTCTCGCACTTCCAAATAAATGACGACCTTGATTCATGATTTTTTTTTCTTGATTGAATCAAAAATGGGATCTTAAACCATAAAATTGATAAAAAAATCCGCTAATAGACTAGGTTCTAATATGTTGTAACATAAAATTTTGTGTCATTTACATGCAAATGGTTTTGGTAAATAACATAAAGCTAAACCAAATATTTAGGATTTCTGGCAACATGGTGTTGTCAAGGCCATTTTAAAAAAATATAGCACCTTACTCATTCATATGTATATTTTTGGTGAAATCAAGCCTAACCATTCATATAAATGATATTAGATAAGATTATTGTTACAAAATGTGAAATTTAATTAAATGAAATAATATATAATTTAAATAATTACAAATACATCATATAAATATCTGTTCTATACTTGGAAATATAAAAGGTCAAACACCTATTCCACATAAACAAAGCATTACGTCCAAGGTATAGGCACTTTGGTTTGCATCCCACCAAAAATTAAGGGAAGTATTTCATAAATGACGGAATATTTTTATATTTTTTATAACAAGTTTTATTTTTAAAATGAGAAAATTTTATTAAAAAATCAAATGTATACCACCTAATATCTATTGAGAAATCAGCAGAGATGCACTGAGTGACACATTTATATACTTTGCATCTTTAAATATATCATTAGTTCAAATTTAACTATAACCATTTATTTTACTAATTATGAATTAATTTTTTTTAGAAGATACCCCAAGTTGCATATATATTTTTTTTAATTGTTATTTAATAAAATTTTATGTTATTTTAATAATTTATTTTATTAATTTTTTTATTTAAATTCTTTTCCGCGTGGCGTATTTTACGAAATTAATCACCAAAATAAAATAAAAACTAAAAGTTTAAATTTAAAATAATTATGGCTTTGTTTTTCTGGGATCAAAATCGTAAGTTAACCGAATCGTTAAACAGGTAGCAACCTTTATTAGTTATCAAACCTTTAACGAACCCTTAAAAATTTTGCATCCGAAGCTAAATGGAATTTCTAAGGGATGGGGTTAGAACTTATTAACATTTGTATAGATTATCATCGATTAATTTTGATTGGTCGGTCAGTATAAGTTAGTCTTTTTTAAAATTAGTATTTTTATTATAGTTAATATTTGTTTAATTAACAATAATATATTTTTGCCCAGGTTTTAATGGTTAAACAAACCAAATTTATTATTTATCACGAACTAGCCTGAACAACAATCCCTTATTTTTACATGAATTTGAACCTAAACGAAACCGATATTTGATAATGATAAATTGGACTATAATAAGCTATATTCAAAAAAGAATTAAATATATGATTCGAATAATCCGCAATAGTAGTGAAAGAATAGTAAATTACTCGTCTTGTTCGAACACGAATAAATCGAATTATTAAAATATTGAAATAATTATTAATATGTTTTCAATAAAATTTAATTATTTGATTTCCAGAAATCCGAATGGTAGTTCAGGTTTAGGTGAAAAAAAATCACGGTGCTTGTTCGGTTTGTAAAAAATAATAATGTCGGTTCGGTTTGAACCGTTGAAATCCTCCGATTTAAATCTTTTTTGAAATTTTGATAAAATTTTATCACTATCTTATATAAAATAATATTGATTGTATACATTTAAAATATGTTTAAGATTCTCTTCTATCTGTTATATCTATTATGAGAAATAATAAATCTCATAGTTGAGAACTCTATACTCAAACTTGGGTAGCTACTACGGTCTAGCATTATACAAAAATATCTAAAAAATGGTTGCTGTTACTTATTATTCAAAATGGTTAATTAATAAACTTTAAAAGAGTTAGAAAATCAAAAGGGTTAAATAGGTTAACAGATCTTTTTATAGGTTCAGTTTAGATGATAAAATTTACCGTTCAGGTTTGTTTTATGTTCTGTAAATAATAACGGGTAATATCGGTTACGATCTCTGGTCATTTCCACTGATAACTTGTTGATCTCCAGGTGATGTGATTAACAAGGTATACAGCTCCTTTGGAAGTTCTTTTCAAAAACTTTTTGTCTTAAAAATGCATTTTAATTTCATTTATAACTTGATTTTTTCTTTATCATTAGATTAGATTATTAGGTAAGGCGATAGCTGATGGGTATATATTGTTTTATTTTTTGTATTTCATATCATTATTTGAGCGCATTTTATTAATTTGATTTTGCAGGATAGAATACCCACCCTATAAATTTCAGACAATTTTATGACAAACTTTTTAAGAAAAATTTATATTAATTTTTTCATATTTCTGAATATTTTTAATGTACATTGAAATTTCTTATAAATTTTATTACAAAATTGTCTGAAATTCATAAGATGGGTATTCTACACATATTGAGATGCATTTCCGGCAAAATCACATTTTTAATTTAATAAATAAAACGCACTCGATTAATAATCTAAAATGCAGAAAATAACAAAATATTAAAACAATACCCATCAAATTATCGCCTTAACGATTATTATAATAATTTTCTTGTTAAAAATTATATGTCCAGATTAAAAATTTTAAAAATTCTGACAATATATTTTAGTATAAATTATTTTATAATTAAAAAAATAAATTATGTAAATAAATAGTAAATTTTATTATTTAAACAAATCGAATAATGGGCTGTCTGATTAATATTCGGTTTTAAATAGGCCTAGCCTGTGGTATGTGTAAAAATTAAGTTATTGGCATTGGTACTTATGGTGTAATATATTTATAAATCCTTGTAAGCTTTTTTGTAAATGGAAGAACAAAGAAGAAATTGCGGAGATAATTTTATAGGTATTAATTCGAAGTTTATAAATGGGAGGGGGGAAGGATATAAATTTAAATTAAAAGATATTACTGGGAGATACAGGGAATGTGATGTATGTTAGATATTATAGGGATGTTATAAAAAATGGAAAAAAAAGTAAAACAGGGGAAAAACAAAACAAAGGAAAAATATTATTTTAGCGAAATTTTTAAATAAAAAATTAAATTTATAAAATGAATAATCTTATTTTTTAAAATCCAACTTAGTAAAATAAAAGGATAGTTATTAGAGGTGGGCGCGGGCCGTGAAATTACGCGTGATACATCGTGTCACGGTGGGCCACAGCGTGAGTGTGAATAAATTTTAAATTATAAGGCGTGACGGGCCTTCCCAAAATTTTTCCCGGGCGTGATCGGGCGTGAACATGAATTTCCCGTGAATCACGAAAATTTTAATTTTTAATTATAAATATAAATTTGCAATTTTATAATTATAATACATATTTTCTAATTTAATTTAGTTCTTTTTTAAAAAAGAAAAATTTTTGAAAGCAAAAAATATTCCGGCATTTTATAAACAACATCTGGTGTCACGTTCTTTTTATGTTTAGGTGTTTTGTCGCGAGATTTTTTACTTAAATTTTAAAATTTATTCTCAAGCACTTAAGGTAGGCTTAATTCTAGATCCTTATTTCAAAAGCCTTAAGTTTTTACGAAGAAAAGGAAGATATTTACAAAACAATCTTAAAAATGTGAAATGATATAAAATTAGATGATATGCATAAGTCAATGCCAACTGTCATTTATAACTTTCCTAATTCATCCTACATTCATAAAAACCATATATTCTAAATGAAACATATTTTTACCGATGAAAGCTGTGTGAATTTAAAATTCATCCCATAAAACAAATAAAAATTGCAATATTTTGAAGTTTTGGACAGGAAAATTTATTTCCTTTTTTGAGAAAATTAGAGAGCAAAATTTTGTCCCTGGCAAATTTGGCTTCTAGTGAAAGGTTATTTTCTGTAGCCAATCGCCTATTAAAGGAAAGGCGTACACACTTGAAATAAAAAAAAATAGACATTCTACTTTTTCTCAGTAAAAATTTGGATTTATAATATGTATTTATTTTTCGTTATTATGGATTATGGAATTAAAGAAATAAATAGAATAAATTCAAATAAGTGTAAAAAATTATTAAAGTTTTGAAAAATTTAAAAACACCCTGAATTATCGGCCGTGAATCAAAATATTGCTTTCGTGAGCGGGTCGAGTCGAAATTTTTTTAGTGGTAAGCGTGAATATTTTCGCGCCCACCTCTAATAGTTATATTATAAATATATTTTACACATAATATTTGAATATAAATCCTTGCAGACCCCTTCCCCAAGTTTCGTTTTTTAGTTATAGGAATTTTTTACCTACCTGTGTAGGATTAACGAGGGTGCCATATTTGCCCATTACTATGTCATTTTCAAACAATATTCAAATGTAATGTATAATAGAAGGAACGATATCAAAAAAAATTTATGATGTCACCAATTTGATTGACATAGGATGGTATAAAAATAAAATAAAATTTAATAAAAATTTAATATTTATTATATTATTATTATAATACCGTACCAATATTCCAAATCAAACATGTATTTCTTATTTTATTTCTATTCTTCTATGTAATCTTTAACCAAACCCAAAACATTTATATAAAATTTTGTAATTCGAAATTTAAAAAAAATAACAAAAAAATGATAAATTTTAGAATAAAACAATATTATTATAAATAATTATCAAAAAAAAAATTAATAAAATTTTAATGCCTTATGAAAAAATATATTAGTTTAAAATTATAATTATTTTAATAAAAAGGAAATTTTATAAAAAATTATTCAACAAAAACTTAAAATTATCGAAAATAATACCTTGGCGCTTCTCTCAGGTGGATCAATACTCAATCCCGTTTAGTTCCTATTTTCAAGTTAGAGAGCCTTTTTTATATAAATATATTCCGTATCTAATCCAATACATATTAGCTTTTTGCAAAAGAAAAAAATTTAAAAGCATTATTTTTTATTACAAAATTTTATTTACACTTTTTAACTTTATTATAGTTATATTAAAAATTATCCCATTGTTTTATATTTTTTATTATTATATTATAATATAAAAAAATGTAGTATTTTTTAAAACTTTTTAATCTGAAATAATGTAACAAAAAATGTTGGAATTTTATTTTAATCATCATAATTCATCATTTTATAATTAACCGGCGTGATTATCCAACACATCACAAAAATATTTTTTATAATTATTAATCTTACCTATATAACATAATAAATAGTAGAAACCTGCAAGGAAAATGCTAAAAATTCTGAACTGAGCTTAAATTTAAAAAAAAATTTTACTCCGGATCAAATATATTTGATAAATAAAAAATATTTATAAGCCAAAAATAATTTTCAATTTAATCAGATGCTATAAATTATCACCTCAAATTACATCTTTTTTTTTAAATTATAAATTTAATAGTTGATAGCCCCTAAATATGTGGTATATATACATTTCAAAATACGTAGTTATACCTTTATACATTATTATTATATTAAATTTTATAATGCAAATATTTGACTTATACCACCTATACTTTTTAAAAATATAAGCAATAATTTAATAAAATTTAAAAAGGTAATCTTACTTTAGAAGATAAATAAAATAATGTATGAACTTGACGTTTAATATTAAAATAAAAATATCACTAATCCAAATGTATTTTTAAATGATGACCTGCGTTCTTCGACTAAATGTTACTTGTAAATATTTGATGATAATTACGAGGAAACTTTCTTAACAAAAAATTAACTACCTAATATTATGATAACAAAAAAGACAACTTACAAGATTAATGAGTCTATCTTTATAATAATAAAATGGCAAGGAAACCAAAATTTAAATACTGAAATTTTATTCAAAATTGATAATAGCATTTCATAATAATCAATAAAATAACACAATTACAATAAAATAATTTTAAAAAACAAAAAATTGTCAAGAGGTTCCTTGGAAACTAAATTAGAGTAATTGAAATGCGATTTGAATGCATTATATAATTTCAATTTCATTTTTTAAACCTACAATTTTAAGAAATTTATAAGATATGTATGTTGGTCTACTGGGCAGACCCATGAATTTTGCGAAGGAAAAATGACAAATCATATCTGCAATAGAGATCATATTTCAAGACCAGGATTTGTAATTTTTTTTCGTCTACCCCGGATTTTATTTTGGTTCGATTAAATTTTTAAAATTTTGCTAATTTAATGCATTTAAATATTTTGGTTGTATTGAAGATATTAGGAGAAAATAAATGTTAAATGATCCCCTAGATTTTCCTTGTTAATTTTAATTAATACAATTTATAAAAAATTCTAACAGGGAATTTTTTAGGCCCGATCCGGCAGGCTCGTGACAGGTGATAGGCTCCAGGCCGCTAAAATTAGGCTATTTTAAAGAGCTAAATTTTAGTTCCTGTGAATTAATTTTGATTTCTCTTTTTTCTTGAATAAATTGATTTTTTTGGTAATTTTAATTACGAGCTTCTTTTCTTAGGGCTTATAGGAAATTGGGGTTAAAGAGCCACAAATATTTTCATCCCCCACTAACAATTTCAAAGTGGCGCGTCAGCCAGTATTATAATAATACTATTCTTGGGCAGGTAGGTCTGGAAAAAATTATAAATCAATTATTATGATAAAAAAAATGATAGCGCGTCAGCTGAAAAGTTGAAATAAAATTTATCTTATAGCGAATACCGAACATAATGTCCCAGACAAAAATACCCCAATATTAGAAGAAAAAAATCAAATCCTTAAAAAACAAGATTTTCCTTGCCCGAGAGATAATATATTCATAATTAAAACATATTAAATTCTTCATTAATTTTTTTTTTTAAATGAGCTGCTCCCCTTTTTTCCATATATTTTGCACGAGTTGTTCAGCATTTGAGATAATTACGGGTTCTAGCTATTTTGGAACATGAGTATTTTTTTATAGTAATGCAATTTCATGAGCTTTGGGTTAATTTTTTTTTCAAGTTCGATTCAAATTTTTTTTATTTAAACTGTTAAAAAATACGATATTTCTGAAAGCGAAAAAATTCAAGTGCTAAAGAGATACATAAAAATTTGGTCTGAAAATTTTAAAATTAATGTCCCAATCCCACCAAGTCTGGGCAAAGGTATGTCCAACTGATCTGACTCGGCTGGATCGAACTCTGATCTGTCCGCGCAGGACTTTGCGTTGGATGATAGTTAAAATGATTCTCTGGGCATAAATGTCTTTAACAAAATGGCACTAGACCAAAATATACCAATTTTCAAAATGCCTAGATAAATGAAATTTAAAAAAATAAATATTTAAAATAAAATAATTTTTTAAGGGGTTTTAAGAAAATAATGGATCGTTATATGAAGGCCTTATGGGTTTCCAACTTTGAATTCTTTAGAAAAGAGACAACATAAATAAAAAGAAACTAAAAAATTCAAATTCAGAAAAAGATACAATTTTTTAAATAAGATATTCATAGTAGAGATCTGCATAAGTAGGTCTGGCCTAATATTTTTTAAAAAAATTTGGGCCGGACCGGGTCGGGCCTTAAATTTTTTTTAAAATATATCTAAATTTATCAATTTTATGTTGAATTTTTATGTAAAATAAAAATATGTGATTTTATTTATAGAAAATAGACGCCATATAACATAAATCGTTTATTTTGAGTAATTATAAGAATTAATTTCTATATTTAAATAAATTCGGGCCGGGCCAGCAAAATTTTTTAAAAAAAATTTCGGGTTCGGGCCGGGCAAAACTTTATAAAAAAAATTTCTGGCCGGGCTTGAAAAATTAGGCCCGATGCAGATCACTAATTAATAGTGAATCGCATTTCCAATACTTAAAATTTAAAGGAATAAAAAGGGGACAATTGACAGCACTAAGGATTGTTTCCATATAAAATCCCTGACATAGATACGACAAAAGGACTGAAAAATATCACGGACAAAAAGATACTGGATAAAAATAGACCAATTTTAGAATTTTTTTTAATGCTTTAATAAAAGCTAATTTAAAAATCCTCTTAGGGATTTAAAATTATTTCAAAAGTTGGGGTATTTTCTTCAGATGCCTTTTTGTTTGTCCGGGATATTTATGCCAGTAATTCTTCTTTATGAGATGACTAGTATAATAAGTACATTTTTTCGATATTTAAATTATTTTTTTAAAATGAGTATTTTTTATATTATTTGCACGTCATATTTTTCTCTGTTAAACCATATAATATAAGTATAGGAATAGAAAATTAAATCCTATTCCTTAGAAATAAAATGAATTTAAAAATTAGTCCATCTCAACCAATCCCAGTGTTCATAAAATGTGTTTAGTTGTTACTATAATAACTAACTAACCACTTTAATTCATCAATTTATACTTTCTATTCACTTTAAAATCTTGTGAATAGTTAAAATTCTCTTTATATTCTTTTGAAAAAAAATAATAATAGAGAAGAAACAAGAGAAAGGGGAAAACTTACAAAATATAAATTGTATTTAATATTTACTTATATACCTGATCTGATCACATCATTTTTTTAATATTACATTTCAAATTACAATTATAAATTTAAATGTAAAATAAAAATGTGCGACTAAATTATATAAAATTTAGTTTTTAGTATAAAAGAAGAAAAGAAAATGATGGTTGGTCCAGTCCACCACTAAAAGGCTGTATATCAATATGGAAAAGGAAATAACATTTTTATCGTATAGAAAACAAAATACAAGGTATAGTAAGAGAGAAAATATATAAAATAATTATTCCATTAAATATTATATTTATTATTTTACCTGTAACATAATTTTAATAAGATATAATATATTGATTTGTATATTTGTTTGTTTTAGATGATAGTCGCCTTATTAGCAAATAACAAAAATTATATCAAATATTTTTACATTAGAAAAGGGCAGTTTTTGAGTATTATGAACTAACTTTAAATTTGTATTTGTTTTATTATCTATCTTTGATACGACATGTGAGAAAATTAAGAATGATTAAAAATCAAATTCGAAGTAAAACTTCTTAAAAAATTATTACAAGTATAAATAAATTATTATATAAATAATGTACAAAAATTTTGTAGACTGGCGCCAGATAAGTTTCTTATTCTTTCTCCCCCTCCCTTTTGCCTAAAATAATTAATTTTGTATGATATCCAAATTTATCATTTTTCATAATTTATGTTCTTATTTTAAATGATGATTAAATTATGTGTAATAAAATATAAATAGGAAAAGACAAGAAAGGCAATAAAATTTTTATTCTTTTTTTTATAGAAGAAAAGGCTAATTTTTAGAAGATGATGGGGTAGAACATTTCCGAAAGACCTTATATCTGAAAAGGGAAGATCGCAGCTAAGATAAGACTTCGATGTATGCGATTATTGATGTAATATTACGATTTAACAATGTCCATTTAATCTAATAAAGAAAATCACAATATCAACCAGAAATCTGCATTTCCCAAGACGGGCAACGTCTAAAATTTTTTTTGTATTTATTTTGGTGTTCAGCAACATATTTCGATTTAAGCATTATATTTTAAATCGGACCGGGCAAAAAAATTAAAAATGGGACGGGAATTAACTATTTAACTTTATTCCCGGCTATAAAGAATTTTCCATTAATACCTATGATATCAATTATTTTATAAATTCATGGTTGAAAATACAATAAACCACAAAAAACCCGAAATAAATAAAGAGAAAAAAACACCTTACATGAACATGACCATCATTTTTTTTAAATGAAATTGTATGGTCAATGTTGGTTAAGTTATGTCAATTTTTTTTGTCATTCGATCCTATTATTTACATTAAAAAAAATGCTATCCGTTATTGATATTGCTAATGATAAAGCTACGATATTG